TTGCTGCGCTGCATGCTCATCATGAAAATCTTCCGCCTACAAAGTCGATCATCTCCCGGGCGGCCACGGCAATGGAGCACTTCAACATCCTGGACATCGGAGGTGCAACAACTGACGTTGTTAAGTCTGCTATCAGAACCACCACCCAAGCTTCTCTGCGGCAGAAGCCACTGCATGGTCGCTATTGGCAGAGGAGTGGCGGTGTATTGGACATGCCTCTCTCATTCAACTTTCTAAAGTCTCCAACATTGCGTCCATCCACTGAGTCATCCGTATTTGCTGTTCAGGATCAGGTGGTTAATACCAGGAACTACGAGAGATCGGTTATTGGCGACACTTCCGTGGTGGACGTGTGCCGTTTGTGCGGAGGTCCGGGGGAGACTGTTGACCATATTTTGGCATGCTGCCCCGTGTTGGCACGGACGGCATACATTACTCGCCATAATCGTCTTGCCGCTATAGTCCACCGGGCACTCTGTCATCGCTACAAACTGGTATCTCCTGCTCCCCCTGGCCACTTGCCACACTACGTCGAGGATAGTGAAGGCCGTAAGTTAATGTGGGAAATGCCAATCCCTACAGATAGGATGGTTGGAGCAAATCGGCCGGATCTTGTGTGGGACGATGGCAAGTCAGTCCAACTTATTGATGTCAGTGTGCCACTGGATCATAGAGTAACACTAAAACATGCTGAAAAGAGAGCGAAGTACTTGCCCCTCGCAGTGGAAATTGGGCAGATTTGGCAGCGGGAGGCAGTGTCCGTAGTGCCCATTATAGTTGGTGCTCTTGGTGGCCTGACGAAGGAAGCGGCTACCTCAATTAAGCAGCTATGTGGAGAAGAGCGGCACCTTCATGAACTGCAGCAGGCTGCTATCCTTGGCTCGATGGCCATTCTAAGATCTGTTTTGGGTGCAGCATAGGGCTCTTCGCTGTCCCTGGTGGGCTTTTATGCTCTGTATGTTATTGTATTCGTTTTAGTTTGTAATTGGAACACTGTGGTATTTCTGTGGGTATTCGTATTTGATCTTTCTGTGGGTGCGCATTGGAAGTTGTGCCCAGTGATGAGCTTTGCCGGCCTGAATTTTTCGCCAACTTCTGATGCTCCCCTTTCTGCAATACCTGTTGTCATGATACCTCTGAGCTGTAATGCCTGTGATGGTACATGCGCCTTTCTCCCTTCTTCTCTCTCTACCTTACTTTTTTCCATATATTATTCCGTGCTGCTTACCTTTGGCTATGATAAGTCCGGTGAGTTAGTGTAATACCTTCAATTTTTATTTTTATTTTCAATTTGGAGTGGAATAAAGACTCATAATAATAATAATGTGTGGATTCACAGGAAGTGTGAGTTACGAAGTCTGAAGAAAATGTTGAACGGCCTCTGCTGAGATGACGACTACACCATAGCTCAGTGGTTAGAGCATCGCTGGCTACAAGCGAGGGTCCCTGGTTCGAGTCCTGGTGGTGACAGTCAATTTTTTCTTCAGACTTTTCCCGTTTGTCTCTTTCCCTCAAACCAGTTAAAATAATAATAATAATAATAATTATAATAATAGTAATGGGGAGGGAGGAGAAAAATCACAAGTGAAAGAAGTCACCGAAGGTAACTGAATAGGTTACAGATAGATCTGCGGGAAAAAGAACCCTGTTGAAAACCGAAAACGTAACTGACCGAAGGATTGACCATTGGTGACCAGATAAAAAAGTGACCTATTTTGAATACTTGGACAGCAGTCCGAGTACAAGATCATTCCATGCGACTAATGATTAGTTGTAACTGAGGGATTTAGCGTTATCCTTCGTTCTCTAGTTTCCGGTCACTCAGTGTACACTAGGGCATGGCTTCATAAAAAAGTGACATCGTTTGATTTGATTGTACAATCGTTGAATAATTTGACCCGCGCTTCTTTATCAATTGCTTTTGGATACTTTGGCATAATGAACGTCGTCCAGCACTACATGTAGTACATGTAGTACGGAAAACGCACGATTTTCCGAACTTCAAAGCCCCGTAAGTACAACAAAGTGAATAAGACAGTATCCCTGATGCCAAAGCATAATAATATTATGAGGATGCTGCGAGCATAATGTGAGCATCCATGAAAGCATACTTCCGTGATTTCGCGGGCATAATGCGCCGGAGCCTAGCCCCGACTCAATAGTTGTTTGTTCCGTCAACCCTCAACTTACGGTTGATAAATATGGTGGTAAAGACACACCTGGCAATATGGCGGTAAACACACGCCTGCCCACACACGCTCTCCAAGCTGTGTTTACCGCCATATTGCCAGGTGTGTCTTTACCACCATATTTATCAACCATAAGTACTGCTGCAGTGGTGTCTTCAACTTCATTAACCCTCAACTTCTGTGTTCTAGTCGTATCTTCGTCCTCCCCGCAACTAACTTTGTCACAGTATCTTTCGTGTTATCAAGAGTAGATACATAGTGTTTAGCTACTCTTGGTGTTATTCAATTTGTCTCGAGCCGGGTTGTGTTCTTTGTAAAAAAAAATGCAGGCGTGAGCTGCCAGTCCCATGTCATGAACAGCCCGAGGACTGCATGAGGATGGATATCATGGGAACCCGCTGTATGGCTACATCATGTACATGTAAGTCTCTTAGTGCAAAAATCCAATTGAGTGTTAGCTTTCAAGTTCTGAGAACCTTTTCTCGTCCCGTATTTCCGCATCTGCTGCCCCTTGTCATCAATGTAGAATGATCTCCACCCGTCGACCAGACGACCACCATCACCACTACTCCTGTACCTTCTGGGCGAGCTCAATTTTAGGAGAAATTCATGTACATGCACATACTGATGTTGTCAAAGCTGCCACTCCTTCCCTTGTACAAGGCACATATCCCTCTCTCCCCTGGTACCGGTAAGTATCTAATATTGACTACGAGGTCAATATAGGAAATAAAAGCCGAGTAAAAGACCGAGGCGAAGCCGAGGTCTTTTACGAGGTTTTTATTTCCTATACTGACCAAGTACGAAGTCAATATTAGATTTATCATATCACGACAATCAGTCCGTATTTCTAATTCCAGAACGATAACCTCATGAATCCCGGTTTTATGATTGCACAACCGTTGCTCTATCGCCTACGTATGCCATGACCATGCTGCACTACATAGTTTAGGCCCCGTTCAACTGCGCAACCCCTAAGCAGTCAAATATAAGCAGTCATTGGGCGCTTTCGATTACACGCATTTCGGTCAATTCTAGAATTACAGTCAACTTCGCTAATAACGACTGCGGATATAACGACAATTCGCGAATAACGACAGAATTCCCATGCCCAGAGCAAAGTCTCATCCCACTGTGATACATGTAATGAGACTTCGGGTATAAGGACACTTCGCGAATAAGGACACTTTTCTGATGCCCCCCCCCCCCCCCCCCCCCCGAGTGTCGTTATAAGCGAAGTTGACTGTAGTTATAATTGTTGATGCACAGTTCGATTACACAAAAAGTGACAAATTCCGTCGTTAGAATTGATTTTATCCAATTCCGTCGAATCCGTCAATTCTGAAGAGAGGGCGGAATTTCTCTAATTCTGGCGCCAGAATTGCGCAGTCGGTGTGTTACCGGTCTGGTCATGACTCAAGCGCGCGAAGAGCCTCCCTGGCCGACGTGCGCGCGATGCTGGGTCCACGTGCGCGCGAGGGTGTACGTGATCTCTTTTTACGATTCATCAATTTTGTTTGTGACATGACATGAATAAAATGCGTTGTGAATTCCAGTCGTTCCTTTACAAGGCTGGAATCCGCTCATTCTGGTCATTCCAGAATTTAAAAAACAGTTCCAGAATTGTGTAAACGTGTAATCGAAAGCGCCCAATATAGCTCTAAGGAGTGAAATTGGCAGGAATATTTGACTGCTTAGGTATAGCGAAAATCAACGGGAGTCAATACTAAGGGAGTGATGAAGGGTGTATATCCTCTCTTGGTAAAGGGCGCACATCCCCTCCTTTTACAGGGGACGGGTGTACATGTATCTCTCTTCCCTGGTATTAGGCCTTTCCCAAATCGGCCGGCGAAAAATTCGCCGGAAAGTAGCCTTTCCAGAAAATCGCCGATCTTTGGGCCGAATTCTGAGATTTTGCCAAGAAATCGCCGAATATACATGTTTTGCAGGGTCATGGGCAACTGGGCATGACCGCTCGTGCGCGCCCGCGTCACGGCCCGTGGGCATTTCCCAAATCGGCCGGCCAAAACACTGGCCGAAAATAGTGGTTTTGAAGAAATCACCGATCTTTTAGCCGGATACGCAATTTTCGCACTGAATTCGCCGTATAGTGCCTCAATAGCATGCAAATACAATTTCTGTAGCCATTATCTGCATAAGGTGGCTGCGACTTTAGAGCCGAATTTCCACCTTTTGCAGAAATTTTCAGCCGATTCTGGCGATTTTTTCAGCCGATCGAAAAGCCGAATAGGCCAAAATAAATGGCCGATTTGGGAAAGGCCTATCTGATATCCTCTCCCCTGATAAAGGTACATCCCTCCTGTTATAAATTGTGTATATATGCGCATGCCCTCCCCCCCCCCCCCTGATAAAGGGCATAATACAACCTGATAAAGAGCATGGATTGAGTGCGCAGCGGGGTGTGCTTGGCAAACGCTGTGTAGGCTATAGCATAGGTACCAACACCACCATGTCTCCAGTAGGTTGTGGTGTATGAAACTAACTACAGTAAAACCTGTGGCTAACGACCACCCCTTGGTAAAACCTGTGGCTAACGACCACCCCTTGGGGCCAGAGAAAGCGGTCTTCAGTGGCAGGTGGTTCTTAGTTAGATTTTTGCACCGCACAACCAGTATGTGAATGTGAGACCGTCCGTGCCCGGCAAAGTGGTCTGTAGTACCAGGCTGGTCGCTAGTCACGGTGGTCTTTGGTAACAAGATTTACTGGAGTACTTTGCAAGCTGACCAGTGCAAACCGAGACACACGTACAAACATGTAGATGCACGTTCGCACACACACACACACAGGAAGTTGCAAGTAGCGTTCAGCTACATTTTTTGGCACAGACCAACAGAAATGTGTGATTCAAGCGACCGTGAAATGATTCTAAGCCACTGAAACTTCGCCAACAGTTCGCAATGGCAGGAAAGCCACTGAGCCCCTAGTTGGCAAGCAAGCAATCCTATCAATGTGTAAACAGCCCTACCTAGTTCATCAAATAATTGACTGATATTATTAGTATTATCATTAGCCAATAATTAATTAACTGAATTGTTCAAAACCTAACTTGTTGTTTCTTCTAATGTGGAATGAAAAAAAAGTATTTGATCTAGCCCTGTCACGAGTTCAAGGCAAGGTGTACCATGTATAAGTAGCAGGATGGATTCTGAAAAACACAAGCAAATGTGACATCGGCCAACACAGCTGTAAACCAATCGGCGAACGGTATAAAAAAATATAAAAAAAGGCGGACACGGCCAGGATTCGTGATCCGCTTCACGGCTTGCTGAATGAGTAGTTGTCAAAGTATACCTCGGTCCTGCGGGGAAAACGTGGAAAAACAAACGCCTGTTTTAGCGCGCTGGATGAGAAGAAAGCCTGTGCAGCAAGCTTTAGTTCTAAAGAGTGCTGCTCGTGCACATGTATATATCATGCCCTGCTCAATGTAATCCCTTCGCGAAAAGTGGGCACCATTTACTGCCTGTACACCGTCCAGTGTTTCATAAACTGCGAGGGGCTGCCCAATAATCCCCTGCTGCACTAGTTCACATTTACATGTACCGTTATGACCAGGTCCCATTAAAAGCAGCACGGCAGTGCACGGCCTCAGCCAAAAGTACAGATCTCGCAGCGTGTTAATACTCTACATTTGGCAGTGTTGATTATTGATACTGCATAGCCCATGGCGGGGATCTAGCAGCACACAGGGAATTTCCCTTTTTGTATTTGCATCTGCCAGCTTTGCCAGCGGCACACTCACTTTTTACTATTGCGACTCTGCTTGGTGGAATCGGTCCAGTACTCTGAGCGTCGTTTTCTGAGTCGTATATAGTAGGCAAGCAGTGCGAGTATTGCAAGAGCAGCGAGAACACCAATGATGATACCGGCAATGGCACCGCCGCCCAGGCCACTGTCGTCGTCCGTCTCCGTGGGCTGCAGAGTGGGACGTGGCGACACTGAGACAAGACCGTACGCACGCACACACACACGCACACACATGCACACATGCACACGTACACACACACACACACGAACACACATACACGTACACACACACACGCATGTACGCGCGCACACACACACACACACACACACACACACACACACACACACACACACACACACACACAGTAGAAACCACAACCAGAAATGCAATGTTAATATGATGTAATAGTCTTATTGACCTTGCGGTCATGCACTGCAAAAGCAGACCACCTGTATTTTAGAAAGCAGAAATCTCAGATGAAAACACACTTCAGTACAGCTCAATGGAGTCTGATCAATCCAGTCAATGCCAAGCTGGGCAGCCTTGGGACCTGCCAACACAGCGAACTGGTGCAGAATTTGGTGACTTTTGCGATCAAATTTCGTTGAGCAGCACTGTAGTAAGTGTCATGCACCATTATGCACCCACCCACACACATGCACCCACACACACACCCACACACACATGCACCCACACACATGCACCCACACACATGCACACACACACACACATGCACCCACACACATGCACCCACACACATGCACCCACACACATGCACCCACACACATGCACCCACACACATGCACCCACACACATGCACCCACACACATGCACCCACACACATGAACCCACACACATGCACCCACACACATGCACACACACACATGCTGTCATGCACCCACACACATGCACCCACACACATGTACCCCACACACATGCATGTACCCACACACCTCAGACCTCAGACCTCAGACATGCCCATCGCGGAAGCGATGATAGCGAACAGCTATGTTAGACGTAGCAACTTGTGCTGGGATTACACCATTCAACAGCTTGCAAGGCTGATGAATTGACCGCCACTATTTTAAGCTTGGTATCCACCACACAGCTGTTTGAAGTGACTTTTCTGACCCACACACACACACACACACACACACACATGCACACACACATGCACACGCACCCACACACTTGCACCCACACACATGCACCCACCCACACACATGCACCACAAACATGCCCCACCCACACACATGCACCCACACACATGCACCCACACACATGCACACACACACACATGCACACACCCACACACATGCACACACCCACACACATGTACCCACACACATGCACCCACACATGCACCCACCCACATGCCCACATGCATGCACACACACACACCCATACACATGCACCCACACACATGCACCCACACACATGCACCCACCCACACACATGCACCCACCCACACACATTCACACACACACACATGCACCCACCGTCACACATGCACCCACCCACACACATGCACCACACACATGCACCCACACGCACATGCATGCACCCACACACATGCATGCACACACACACACACACCGGCACGCACACACGCACATGCACCCACAAACACACACACACACACATGCACCCACACACATGCACCCCCCTACATACCCACACACATGCACCCACGCACACATGCACACACACACACACATACAGACGGCTAAGCACACATATGCCCAATGATCAGAGGCACTTACAGGATGCTGCAGAGGTCAGACCTGCTGCGCTGAACGATGTCAGCAGCGAATTTGTGATGCTTGATACACTGATACGAGAGAGAACAGCCTCTGCGTCCACGGCCATATTTGTCTCATTGTCCCGTACGAAGAAGTACACTGACAGACTGCAGCAGCAAAGCAAGACAGAGAGAGCGGAATGAACAGAAGGATTGGAAGACGGTGGTTCTTTCAGAACATATACACTGAAGACAGGATGGTGGAATTTTGCAACGCCAACAAGCTGCACCGGAAGACTGGTTGCTTGATCGAGCAAGGACCTGCTGACTGCTTGAATGAGCAAGGTTCTGCCAACTGCTTAGTTGAGCAAGGTTCTGCTAGCCTTCAACCAGGATGGTACTGGCAGTTGTCATAGCTCTGCTGGGTTTGCATTCCTTTATTCTCTATTTGAAAAGTTACCAATTTTTGTATTAGAATTGCGATCAACAGAACGAGCTGAACCAACATTTCACAAAGGCTTTATTGTATTCTAAAATGTTCTTCACCGCCTTCGTATCCACTCGTTTTTTAATTACAGTATAGCCTTTGTGAAATGTCGGCTCAGCTCGTTCTGTTGATCGCTATTCTACGACTATTGTCGGCTCGACGCTAATTTTTGTATTGCACATTCATTGTTTGTATTTTGCCTGTAAAAGAGTCTTGTAAATAGGACACAGCAGGAGTTTTTTTCTTCTTCTTTTCAGCCTCTTTTACGGGCAAATTAACACAATGGTTTAAAATGCAATAAATCATACACTGGAGAAGAAATCAGAAAAAATGCACAGCATGATCCTCATGATAAGCTTCAGTGGGAACATGCTAATAACAATGTTGGTTAGCGTCAATGTGACAGAAGACTAGAGCGTTGCACGGCACTTCAACAACGCCAGGAGTGCAACAGCTTGCACCGGTGAGCCTGGGGGTGCTCGAGAGCACTCAACACGCCAATGAAATCTCTTTTTCTTTAAAAGTCATTTCATTTTTCGTTTTTTGTTAGTTGTTGTGCCAGGCTTGTGATAATTATCATGTTCTGTGATTGCCCGATAAAAGGCTTTTTCACACATCCACGAAGTACCCCTTGTGCCAGAACAAAGCTTTTTTCACTTGACCGTGTGTAGCAGAATTGGATCAATACCAGTATTGATCCCCAAAAAACGAAAACAACAAACATACTGCTTCCGTGCACACTTCATATCTTTTCAAAGCATTCGTCTAGCGATTGAGTTGAATCTTTTACACAACCTTGTTACATTTGCCTTGAGTTTCTTTGGATTAGACTTTTTTTTTTCAAATTTTCATTTCGATTTCATCGTCGAGTTTCATCCCCGGTATCTTTGGTTTTCTTCCTTCTTTCCATGTCACATTGCTTGAATAAACCCGTTTTCAGTACAAAAAATCCTGCAACTAAAAAAGTTACAAAATATAACCAGTATTTACTGTCAAACCGGAAAGTCTAGCGAGTCACAAAGTCTATCGTTTTAATTACCAATCGTTTTTTCGTTATTTGAAGAAACGTTATCGCGAACCCGGTTTCAGATGTCTGTGTAAAGATGCGCATACAGATGGGTGGCCAGGTGGCCATCGTTAAACTTTCTGCACGTTATCGTGCCAAAATTACCAAAACGTTAACTTGTTGGTCATTGAACTTTCCGGTTTTACAGTGCACAGGTTGGTAACGGCTGGCCCGCGGCATGAAAATGAGAAAATCGGGAAATTTCATTGCTGCCGAAATGGCCAGAGGAAAACTTCAGTAGTGTTCACAGAGGAACGCAACCACATACACTGCCTGTACACGCACACTGTAAGCACCCCCGCACACTGGCAGCACTCAGGCAACAGCACTGACACAGAGGAACTACTTACACGCTGCCAGAGCTTGTCTGAGCTGTTACGTTCACCGGGCCGATTTCCAGACTGCTACGAATCCTGGCAGCCAGCTGCTCGTTGGTGTACATGACATCCGCGTCAACCCCGGACAGAGACAAGATGACTATGACAGGGATGGTAGTTGTTGTCGCCTGTATCATACACATACACACACACACACACACACACACACACACATACACACACACACACATGCATGCACGCAAATACACACGTGCCCGCACACACACACACACGCACACATTGCACAAAATCCACAGTTTACATAATTGAACAAGAAAATATAACATACATGGGCGAAGAACTCAATGTCAGGGTTTGGAGAGAGAGAGAGAGAGAGAGAGAGAGAGAGAGAGAGAGAGAGAGAGAGAGAGAGAGAGAGAGAGAGAGAGAGAGAGATGGAGAGAGGGGGGGGGGGGGGGGGGGGAGGGGAGAGAGAGAGAGAGAAGGGAGAAGTGTGGAGAACAATGAAAAAGAGAAGAGAAAGGGGGTAGGTGGAGAACAGTGGAGAATAGAAGATGGGGAAAAGGAAGAAACAGCCAGTGAGAAGGGAGGCACAGGGTGCACTTAACAGCTATGCGACTCCTGCCGCGACTCGCATGGATATACAGTGATCGCTGGGATGCATGCAACTCTGCTTGCACAATGGCCACAATCCAGCTACAGCCATGGCCTCTATCCAATTACAGCCATGGGCAAACTTACACCAGAACTATGGTAGCAGCTTTTCATACTACAAGTCTTTATTTGTGCATGCATTACAAGTTTATCAAGGAACATACGGGTTCTCCTGCTGTTGATGTTATTGGTGGTTGAGCAGATCCTGTGGTCGGTCTTGCTGTCGTGCCACTCACAGCTGCGCTACTACCAGCAGCAGTTGTGCCACCAGCGGAAGTAGCTCCCACGGTTGCTCCAGTTCCCGTGCCTGCAGCAGTTGTAGCAGCAGCAGTTGCACCAGATGCTGTTGTAGCTGCAGAAGTTGTGGCTGCAGCAGTTGCACCAGACGCTGTTGTAGCTGCAGCAGTTGTGGCAGCAGCAGTGGTGGCAGCAGCAGTCGCACCAGACGCTGTTGTAGCTGCCGCAGTTGTGGCAGCAGCAGTTGTGGCAGCAGCAGTTGCACCAGACGCTGTTGTAGCTTCAGCAGTTGTGGCAGCAGCAGTCGCACCAGACGCTGTTGTAACTGCAGCAGTTGTGGCAGCAGCAGTGGTGGCAGCAGCAGTCGCACCAGACGCTGTTGTAACTGCAGCAGTTGTGGCTGCAACAGTTGTGGCTGCAGCAGTTGCACCCGACGCTGTTGTAGCTGCAGCAGTTGTGGCAGCAGCAGTGGTGGCAGCACCTGTTGAACCGGCTGCAGTTGTACCGGCTGCCGTTGTAGCCGCTCTGGTGGTAGCAGCAGCAGTTGTACCAGCCACGGTTGTGGCGCCAGCAGAAGTTGTAGCAGCAGCGGTTGTGCCAGCAATGGTTGTTCCAGCTGCCGTTGTGGCAGCCACGGTTGGAGGAGCTGCTGTTGTAGCAGCTGCTGTCGTGGAAGCTGCAGTTGTGCCAGCTGCAGTTGTGCCAGCTGCAGTTGTTCCAGCCGCTGTTGTAGCAGCTGCAGTCGTGGCAGCTGCAGTTGTTCCAGCCATGGTTGTACCGGCTGCTGTTGTACCAGCTGCAGTCGTGGCAGCCACTGTTGTACCAGCCACAGTTGTTCCTGCTGCTGTTGTAGCAGCTGCGGTTGTAGCAGCTGCTGTTGATGCTGCAGCACTCGTGCCAGCGCCTGTTGTACCGGCTGCAGTCGTAGCAGCTCCAGTTGTAGCGGCTCCAGTTGTAGCGGCTCCAGTTGTAGCAGCTCCTGTCGTAGCAGCAGCAGTTGTAGCAGCGGCAGTTGTAGCAGCGGCAGTCGTAGCAGCTGCAGTTGTGCCGGTCATGGTTGTTCCAGCTGCAGTTGTGGCAGCCAAGGTTGGAGGAGCTGCAGTTGTGCCAGCCGCTGTTGTAGCAGCAGCAGTTGTTCCTGCTGCTGTTGTACCTGCTGCGGTTGTAGGAGCTGCTGTTGTTGCTGCAGCACTTGTGCCAGCACCTGTTGTGCCGGCTGCAGTCGTAGCAGCTCCAGTTGTAGCGGCTCCAGTTGTAGCAGCTGCAGTCGTAGCAGCTCCTGTCGTAGCAGCAGCAGTTGTAGCAGCGGCAGTTGAAGCAGCAGCAGTCGTAGCAGCTGCAGTTGTGCCGGCCATGGTTGTTCCCGCTGCAGTTGTGGCAGCCAAGGTTGGAGGAGCTGCAGTTGTGCCAGCCGCTGTTGTAGCAGCAGCAGTTGTTCCTGCTGCTGTTGTAGCTGCTGCGGTTGTAGGAGCTGCTGTTGTTGCTCCAGCACTCGTGCCAGCGCCTGTTGTACCGGCTGCAGTCGTAGCAGCTCCGGTTGTAGCGGCTCCAGTTGTAGCAGCTCCAGTTGTAGCGGCTGCTGTTGTTGCAGCAGCAGTTGAAGCAGCAGCAGTCGTACCAGCCGCAGTTGTAGCAGCCCCTGTTGTGGCTGCCTGGGTAGTTGCTCCTGGACTTGACACTCCAGGAGTGGTGAAAGCTGGTATTGAAACTGTTGGACTAGAGGGGCCAAACGTTGGGACTGATGGCGTGGTGACAATGGGCAAAGAAGGTGTTGAAACAGCTGGAGTCGTCACCAGCGGAGTTGCTACCGTGGGAGTTGTAAAGCCAAATGTAGGCACAGATGGGGTAGAGACAATTGGCACAGATGGTGTAGTGACAATTGGCACAGATGGAGTTGAAACTCCCGGGGTTGTTACAGCCGGAGTTGTCACGGCGGGAGTTGTCACAGCCGGGGTTGTTACAGCCGGAGTTGTCACGGCGGGAGTTGTCACAGCCGGAGTTGTTACTGCCGGAGTTGTTACTGGTTGAGTTGAGAAACCGAAGGTGGGTACGATAGGTGTGGTCACAGGAGGAGTAGCAGCAACCGTAGTTGTCGCCTGGACTGTAGGTGTTGTCTGGGCAGTGGCTGCCGTTGTTCCCAGGGGCAGTGTGGTTGGAATCGGGAAACATCCCACTGGAACTCCTGTGGGCAGATTGGGAATGCTCACACTGGGGAAACCTGTGGGTATGCTTGGGAAACCAGTTGGCACGCTGGGAAAGTTGGTGGGAACAGTTGGGACACTTCCAAGATCAACAGTTGGTATACTTGGAAAACCTGTTGGAATATCCACAGTGGGGAAACTACCTGTTGGAATGTCGAAAGTAGGGAAACCTGTTGGAATATCGACTGTAGGTATTGATGGAACAGAACCTGTAGGAATATTGAATGTTGGAAAGTCTGTTGGGAAACTTGGTAGAGAACCTATTGTAGGAGGACTGCCAGTTGGAATATCAAACGTTGGAAGACTGCCCGCTGTAGGGAAACCAGTTGGAATATTTCCTGTAGGAAGATCAACTGTTGGGAAACTTCCAATTGGGAATGTGAATGCACCCGTTCCTGGATTGAATGTGGGAACTCCAATATACTCATATCCTGGTGGACAGCTGACAACTGGAATAGTTGGCGGGGCTGCAGCAAACACAGAAGAAAGTATGAAAATGTAAGCACATATTCATAGAAAGTGAAAACTTCACATTTGGAGTGTCACTTGCTCAAAAAAGATCATTTTGAAATTATTCATTTCCTCCTGATACCCCTACCCTCTCCCACGTCCTACCCTGACAAATGTTCATACATGAACACTGACACTTGCGTTGGTCCTTTCAATAGACTTACTCAGGTCACGTCACTTTTTAGTTTAGGTCAACACCACTTGAACCCCTGCCATCAAGTCACAAAATGTCATCGACAAAAAGAGGATATTTCCAGAAGACCTCTTTGTTTCAGTATGTTTTTAATAAAATTTCAATCAGTGTTTTCTCTGAAATGTGTGGGAACTCAATGCCAGCAGACAGATAAAAAGGGGTTTGCAGAGGAGTGATGATTTACCTGGTGTTGTAGGACTTGGTGGGGTTGTTGGCGGAGACGTTGGGGCGCCTCCAGTTGTTGCCACCGGGGTGGACACACGAGGTGTTGTCGGCGCTGCAGGAGTGCTGGTTGGGGCACGGGCTGTTGTTGTTGCTCCCAGTGGCAGCGTGGTCGGAATTGGGAAACATCCTACAGGAACTCCAGTCGGCAGATTTGGAATGCTCACACTGGGGAAACCTGTGGGTATGCTTGGGAAACCAGTTGGCACGCTGGGAAAGTTGGTGGGAACAGTTGGGACACTTCCAAGATCAACCGTTGGAATACTTGGAAAACCTGTTGGAATATCCACAGTGGGGAAACTACCTGTTGGAATATCGAAAGTAGGGAAACCTGTTGGAATATCGACTGTAGGTATTGATGGAACAGAACCTGTAGGAATATTGAATGTTGGAAAGTCTGTTGGGAAGCTTGGTAGAGAACCTATTGTAGGAGGACTGCCAGTTGGAATATCAAACGTTGGAAGACTGCCCACTGTAGGGAAACCAGTTGGAATATTTCCTGTAGGAAGATCAACTGTTGGGAAACTTCCAATTGGGAATGTGAATGCACCAGTTCCTGGATTGAATGTGGGAACTCCAATGTATTCATATCCTGGTGGACAGCTGACGACTGGAATAGTTGGTGGAGCTGCAGCAAACACAGAAGAAAGTATGGTAGTGTTAGCACATGCTCAAAGAGAGATTGTGAGAATCTCAATTACGGATTATTGAAGAAAGCAGAAATCCTTCAACACCGCCTGATCATCCCCACTATCATTCCATCGCAACTCTTGCAGGAGAAGTTCTTACGCATGTGCTGACTTGCAGGGAGAATTCTAAATGCATCAGCTGCAAATGATTTGTTTTTTCACGGCTGACCGTAGCGAAAGAGTGCAAAAAACGTACTTGTCACTCAAAAATATGTTATTGCATTTGCTCTTGTTCTGCGCAACTCCGTTGAACCTGCCATCGTGGTCTTTGTTTTCCTCGTGACAGTTGAAGTTGCCCACCCACCCACCCTGGTTTCATGGGGGTCTTCTGCTGTCCTTCTTGATATTCTATGCCGATGTGTGCGGCTTATGATTCTGACATACACCGGTTATTACATACAATTTCTTGTTGTCTCTCTTCTTGGGTCCGACTGGCAGCTCGGCAGGAATTAATGAAGTAGAAAGTTTTTTTGGCCGAAAGTTGTGTTTTTCCTCTCGCCCGGTTGAACGGTCGTGGCTAGGAATGTACGGAGTCATTGTGTGCAGGCGCTCCCCTGCTGCCCAGTCACACATACTCACCACTGGCCATGCTGTTTCACTTGATTTTGCGGCCTTCCTCCCGCTTGATGGCGGTTCTTGATTGGTTTAAACGTTATCGGCTATTTTTCTATTATGTGGCTGCTTCTACTCATTTCAGGAAAACCACTACGGTGGTGAGTGTGATATGTTCTAAGTACTGCAATGACAACAATATGCTATCATCGTGCATTAGATAGGATCCATTAGAAAAAGGGTTTGCAGAGGAGTGATGATTTACCTGGTGTTGTAGGACTGGGTGGGGTTGTTGGCGGAGACGTTGGGGCGCCTCCAGTTGTTGCCACCGGGGTGGACACACGAGGTGTTGCCGGTGGTGCAGGAGTGCTGGTTGGGGCACGGCCCGTTGTCGTTGCTCCCAGTGGCAGTGTGGTCGGAATTGGGAAACATCCCGCTGGAACTCCTGTTGGCAGATTTGGAATGCTCACACTGGGGAAACCTGTGGGTATGCTTGGGAAACCAGTTGGCACACTGGGAAAGTTTGTGGGAACAGTTGGGACACTTCCAAGATCAACAGTTGGAATACTTGGAAAACCTGTTGGAATATCCACAGTGGGGAAACTACCTGTTGGAATGTCGAAAGTAGGGAAACCTGTTGGAATATCGACTGTAGGTATTGATGGAACAGAACCTGTAGGAATATTGAATGTTGGAAAGTCTGTTGGGAAACTTGGTAGAGAACCTATTGTAGGAGGACTGCCAGTTGGAATATCAAACGTTGGAAGACTGCCCACTGTAGGGAAACCAGTTGGAATATTTCCTGTAGGAAGATCAACTGTTGGGAAACTTCCAATTGGGAATGTGAATGCACCCGTTCCTGGATTGAATGTGGGAACTCCAATGTATTCATATCCTGGTGGACAGCTGACTACTGGAATAGTTGGTGGAGCTGCAGCGAACACAGAAGAGAGAATTGAGATCTCAAGACAAAGCAATACTTCTATACATTCGAAGCGCCAGCACCCCAAATCAAGACTTTTTTATTTTCCGTGGCGGGAAAACGAGCTTTTCCAGGTATCTACAGCCTGTAGAAATTCAACGCTGAGAATTTCCAACTATTGTCCGGCTTTGGTCCTCTGCCACCGACCTATCCTTTGAAGGAGAATGCTGAAACCAGTTGGTTGCTCTTCAGTAGTTCTTTCTCTATCGTATACATATTTTTGTATGTCGACACATGCCGTGTGCGACGACGTAGACACTTCTCAACACTTGAGTGACTTGAATTTGGCCATGATGACCGAATGTCATTGGACCGTGGAGTCGAGTAGAGGGCTCAGGCTCGATCGGCACAACGGGTACGTATAGCACAAGGGTAGGGCTAATGATATATCAAGTTGTTTGCTGTGCACAACCTTGGGGCGGAATTCGGCACGAAATTCTCTGCTCACCAACTGTTGAGTATACCATGCAATACGTAGGTTTAAACTCATATTACAGTGCTATCACGGTTGCAACCCTCTTTCAAATGGTGACATAGCCAACAACCACATAATCCATATCAAATCTTGCCCCTTGTTTTCTTTCTATGTGTGAATAATAGAAATAATACCAGTCCTAATCATTGGAAAATGCAAATCACGGTCTATTATCGACACATCGTACTGTCGCGGACATGGAAATCCAGTCGATTGACCGGGGCCGGCGCCCTCAGCGCGTACAGAACGTTGCATGCAGTGCACATGTTGATCCAATGCGACCATCAGCAGCGCATGATAAACCGTGCTACGGCTGCATGGCCAGCGCCCTGGGGCCGCTATCCGTGCGACCTGATTTCCATGTCCACGACAGTAGTACCATGCAGCCTGGTAGTGCATTTGGAGCAGGAAAGTGAATGGTAGCACTGCGGTGGTGAACACATGAGCTGATGACAACCATCGTCATCTTGTTGGTTTGTGTTGTCTCCAGTTCATTGCAAGTTGAACGAGGAATGAACGTCTACTCTTTCTTTCCAAAACTGGCTGGGCACACGCCAATGAGACGGAAGCTAGTGCCAAACCAGTCCTTGGAAGTTTTGTTGTGCTGCTGGACTTTCAATCATCATGTAAAGTATATTCCGGTTTCTGAGTCTTCGTGTGCGCCTGAAGAGCTACACTGTGTAGAGATGTTGGAAGTTTATCCTGCTCACGACACTGCACCAAGTACAAGCACTTCCTCAGCACTGCCTGAGCCCTGTTCTGTGTTCCCTGTGACCAGGAGAAGCAACTAGAAATTGGAGCTTGAGCTGGAACGCTGGTGCTCTCTCTCTCTCTCTCTCTCTCTCTCTCTCTCTCTCTCTCTCTCTCTCTCTCTCTCTCTCTCTCTCTCTCTCTCTCTTCGTCACGTTCTGCCACTGTCCGAAACCGGTGCATGTGCTAGCATGTCGAAGCGCATTGTGTCTGAGTCACGTACTCACTCTCCTGCTCCTCCCTCATATGCCCAAGACAGTATGACCAACTGTGAATACAGTTCATGCCGCATGTGAACTTGTGTGATTCTCTTGTAGTAAGCTGCCACGTGTGTACTTGCACGTGTTGTGTACATGTGTGTGTGTGTGTGTGTTTGTGTGTGCGCGTGTGTGTGTATCTATGGGACTGCGTTCTCCTATTCTCTCTCCGGTGCCTTCGAGGCCCACGCAACCCTTGTGGCAGTGGCTCGACAGCACAGGGCAGGTGTGTGTGCGCGCGTGCATGGGTATATGTGGGTGTGTGTGTGCGCGCGCGCGCGTGTGCATGCGCATGTGTGGGTGTGCGTGCGTGCATGCAGATGTGTGTGTGGGGGTGTGCGCACGCTGATGCTCAGCTCTCCAGAATTATGTCCGTGTGCGTAGCCAGTGTATGGTGGCAACATAGCCTTCCTTCATGTATATGTGTATGCGCATACTATTTGGGATGCTTTACTGTTTTTGGTGGGATCCAGTTACATAGTTTTCTGTTCAATTATTTATGTTTATACAGCTGCTGTATTTGTAGTGCAACTTTATGTCTTTCTGCTGGTCAAATTGTCGTCTTGATGGTGTTCTAATACTGATATACATAGAAAATATTACCCTCAGAAAGTATGCTCGTTGTGAAGTTGTCCTTCTTTGGGCTCAAACCATTGCTCGTGTATAGGTAGATACATATCAGTGGGTTCGATTGGTGGCGAGAGGTCAGCCTAAATTGTTTGGGGCGGAATTCGGCACGAAATCCACGCTGAGTACTTTTTGACGACGAGTTGCGTCGGTCTTGAAAACTCTGGCGAGAAAGCGAGGAAAATGATGTCGCTTGGAGCTTTCCGCGAAACTGAGGGCAGCTAATGCCCGCACCTTCCCAAACATTGCCTCGGAACAAGACGATACCACCAGGGAAGCTCTTGTGAGCAAGGGATAAAATAGTCTCTTTTTGGCGATATTGAGCTGAGTTTCAAATTTCCCGGGCCTGGGGTCGGATTTGGAAAATAAAAGTGCAACTTTTAGGGCTCTTTTTCGGTGCTGGCGCTTCGCCTGTATAATCACCGCATGGGATACTGTAAAGCACGACATTTTCGGACGAAATTTATTTTCGTTCGATTTCGTATACGGCCTTTTTTGTACTAAAATTAATTCCGTACTAAAATTTGTTCATGTGTACTGCTTGCGAACATGTGCATTTAGTATGTACGAATATAAAATCCGTACGAAAGGTCGAAATTCGGCTTTGTCCGAAAATATTTCCGTCCGAAAATTCCCTGCTATACAGTAACAGAATAATAGAATTTGGAAGTGACAGTCGACGATTTATGCAGCTTACTTTTAGAGAAACATTTTTTTGCGGAAATCATCACAACCCAAATTTTACTGCTCTTGACGATGTGATAAATATACGTCAAAAATTAGTAGACAACCACAATCAAAAAAATGAGCTGAACCGACATTTGTGTACTTTATTCATGCAATGTAGAACGGTGGAGACTATGTGCTTGATTGCGGTTACCGTATTATCTCTAATATAAGCACAGTCTCCAATAATAGCACGTCTCCAATAATAGAACACCTTGGGGCGGCATTCAAAAAATAAAGTGCTCAGTCTCCATTATAAGCACACTGTGCAAAATTCATTATCTGTACAGACGAAAAAACCCTGAAATGTGTGTGTCTGACATGAATTTGGCATGGCAACATGCCTCTGAAATGAGGTTGAAACATTAATGGAACAGTCTCCAATAAAGGAACGTCTCCATTAATAGCACGGGGCAGAGGTACATTGAAAAAATAAAGGACCGTGCTGATATTAGAGATAATACGGTATCAAATTATTGTCTCCTCACCGTTTGTTTAAAAATAAGTAGTTTGGATCTTTAGGCGAGACCAAAATAAAATCGAGATTCCCGGTCAGGACCCATGTGAAATTGGTGCGGGCGGGCGAATTGTATTCTTTATTTTTTTCCCATGTACATGTATGTACATGACTATAATGTGTGCATGCCATGTTGAACTTTTTTTCACAGCATTTTCCGGTAATGTTTTTCAATTTTTTTTACAGACAACAGGTACGCGGTTTACCCGTTCAATTATTCTATATTTCGACCAACGATGACCCTGATCTCTACATCTGGGAGCCGTACAAGCTCAGGTTTGTGTGACTCCACGTCACAGATCTACTCACACGATCAGTACTGTACATGTATGAATTGTTCAAAAAAACAAATTGGCTTTGGCTCGATTTTGGTGCGGGAGGGCCCGGGAATGTCTATTTTTTGGTCTCGCCTTAGAGGGAAAGCAGTGTAAATCCATGTTGTAACGGCTTGCCAGAACACACTTTGAACAAACAGCCCTCCGGACAAATGTAGATGAAATGATTGCCCTGTTCTTCAGGAAAGGACAGATGTTCGTCGGAGTTCCGTTTCAATGTTATTGGATACTGCTACACTTGAGTAGAATCATAGTATATTTAAAAAGTAAAAAGAATGATGTTCATATCCACACTTTTAAAGCGATTTTGTGGAGTATTGAATAACTGGGAAGACAACTAATTTACCTGGCGTGGTCTGACGAGGTTGAGTTGTTGCCTGAGATGTTGTTACACCACCAGTGGCAAAGAGCGGGGTTGTTGAAGCAACTGCTTGTGGTGTTGTCGGCGCTGCAGGAGTGCTGGTTGGTGCGCGGCCCGTTGTTGTTGCTCCCAGTGGCAACGTGGTCGGAATTGGGAAACATCCTGCTGGAACTCCAGTTGGCAGATTGGGAATGCTCACACTGGGGAAACCTGTGGGTATGCTTGGGAAACCAGTTGGCACGCTGGGAAAGTTGGTGGGAACAGTTGGGACACTTCCAAGATCAACAGTTGGTATACTTGGAAAACCTGTTGGAATATCCACAGTGGGGAAACTACCTGTTGGAATGTCGAAAGTAGGGAAACCTGTTGGAATATCGACTGTAGGTATTGATGGAACAGAACCTGTAGGAATATTGAATGTTGGAAAGTCTGTTGGGAAACTTGGTAGAGAACCTATTGTAGGAGGACTGCCAGTTGGAATATCAAACGTTGGAAGACTGCCCACTGTAGGGAAACCAGTTGGTATATTTCCTGTAGGAAGATCTACTGTTGGGAAACTTCCAATTGGGAATGTGAATGCACCAGTTCCTGGATTGAATGTGGGAACTCCAATGTATTCATATCCTGGTGGACAGCTGACTGGCTGGGTAACCGGTGGGGTGACTGGTGGAGGAGTTGCAGCTGCAAGTACAGAACACAGATGCAGGAAAGGCTTCAGAAATGCAGATTTTGACATGATGCCCAAGTACTCTGCAGTGACATGAAGTTAACATGAATGCAACCATTTCACGTAGAATGACTATTTTTGACACTAATGCATGTCACTTGACATCGAAAAGACATCCTTTAGACGACCAGTCATACAGTGCCTACATATAACTCCTGTGTTTCGTGTAACTCTGGTGTCACACAATATACCGGAAAAGAAACACACAAAACAAGAAGCAGGAGCTGAGCTTTGCAGACTTCCAGATGTTCTCTATTCAAGCACAAGTCTCCATTACTAGCGCAGTCTCTATTACTGGAGCACCGCGAGCACCTTTCGAAACATTATAAGCACAGTCTCTATTATTAGCACGGTCTCAGTGGAATTCGGCGTTGCATGCATGATATCTAGCATGGATTTCTTCCTCCTCTGTAGAGAATTATTGGTTGAAAAAAATGCAAGCACCGTCTCCATTATAAGCGCAGTCTCCATTAATGGCATGGGGTAGAGGGGAGTCATTATTAGCATGGGGACGAGGGGAGTCATTATTAGCATGGGGTAGAGGGGAGTCATTATTAGCATGGGGTAGAGGGGAGTCATTATTAGCATGGGGTAGAGGGGAGTCATTATTGGCATGGGGTAGAGGGGAGTCATTATTAGCATGGGGTAGAGGGGAGTCATTATTAGCATGGGGACGAGGGGAGTCATTATTGGCATGGGGTAGAGGAGAGTTGAAAATATAGAAGCACAGCGCTTACAAAAAAATATATGCAGGAACTGGTTTGATGTGTGTGTGCGTGCGTGTAATAAGTTCAAGGATCGAACTTTACAGGACATATCAGCCAATAGCCTCAGTTAAGGCTCACTTAAATCGGGTCGGTAACATTGAGAAACACAATACACTCAGAGCTGGCAGCATGTCTTTTTAAATGTCAATCAGTTCAGATGTCTTCTATGGAAGTACAACACCTTTCTCAAGCGTAGGAGGCGAAGTGCGGTTTAGGAGATGGTACGATATTGATACGATCCAGTCTGTATCGATTATCTATTTTTTCTCTTTCCCCCTTTCTTTCTTTGCATCTTTGCTCTTGATCCGTAATTGGATTCTCCCTCACTTCCTTCTATGTGTGAAATTAAAGAATAAATACGCGAGGTCTGGATCAGATATGTTCTACAGGACTTACTTCTGAACGGCGTGGTAACGGGAAAGCTTGGAGCAAAAGAGATTGCGCCAGTCTGCTCGCAGACACCAGTGGTAGGGCTGAGGCTGCACTGAGCGAAACGCTGCGGGTTACATGTCAACGTCGGGTCCCCACAACGCGTAAGATAGTCCACCGAGATGGTCGTCGCGTTCGGAAAGTTTGTGTCGACGCAGTACGGCTCGCCACAGCACTCCCGTGGTATGGACATACACCCTGGCAGTGACAATGCGACACACAACATTCATTCAGCACTTCTACTTAAACACGCTACGCTATTGAACAAGGCATGGCCGCAGGTTAGGAAGTAAATGTGTTGGGAATCAACAGTTAATCAAGAGAGCACCGAAAAACAAGTATGTATGCTTTTGTTGTCGTATTGTATCCAGCAAACATTTGTGCGCACCATGGGATTGTCTTTCCAGTCAAAGTTCATAGTTCAACGTAATTTGGGCCACATCCCTTGGGGGAAATGTGCATGAACACCCCCAAACTTCAGCTGAATTTTGACTGTTGTAAAAACATCGAGCATTGCAAAATTAGCAGCACTCTTTGCCAAGCATGATCGCATGGCCACATTACAACATGTTTTGATCGTTTACAAACCCCCAAAGCATTTCCATCGAATTTTTAGACCGTGATCCCATGATCACAACTTACTGGCAATCGTAACAGTTGGAGGTGGAGCTGAATAAACAAAGACACACACACACACATAATACAAACACGAAGCAATCCGTGATCTCGTTGGTGGTTTAAAGTTTGAGCCACAGACGCATAAACAAGCATTATAGCATGATCAAATCAGCCAGTTTATCACTAAACAATCATCCAGTCTATTACCAAGCAGTTGCAAATGAACTCAAACTCCGTACACCTAGCTCAGCTGGTTAGGCCATATCAGCGGAGCTCAGAACCACCGGGCAACCATGTGGCCATGCTAGCATCTATTGAACAACAATGTATTCCCCATCGGCTCAACGCATCAATGTCAGAGTGGCCTGATATTGCAAAACACTGCAAAACACTGCAAGAAAGTGCACAGGATGGTGCACAGCAGATCAGTTCATGGACACAGTGCATTCCTGGCAGCAGTGCTAAATTCATGCGCCAACACTTGCACAGCATGTCTTGATCCTCAACGGAGGATTGCGGGCATTCAGCCCCCCCCCCCCCGCACCCAGGCCGTGAACGAATTGCGACGAAAACCTGTTGAGGAAATCAACATGCAAACTACACTGACTTAGTTGTCCCTACCTTGAGTTGTCGGCAGACTCTGTGCCTGCGTTGTTGCGCCCAGTGGCAGTGTGGTTGGAATCGGGAAACATCCTACAGGAACTCCAGTTGGCAGATTGGGAATGCTCACACTGGGGAAACCTGTGGGTATGCTTGGGAAACCAGTTGGCACACTGGGAAAGTTGGTGGGAACAGTTGGGACACTTCCAAGATCAACAGTTGGTATACTTGGAAAACCTGTTGGAATATCCACAGTGGGGAAACTACCTGTTGGAATGTCGAAAGTAGGGAAACCTGTTGGAATATCGACGGTAGGTATTGATGGAACAGAACCTGTAGGAATATTGAATGTTGGAAAGTCTGTTGGGAAACTTGGTAGAGAACCTATTGTAGGAGGACTGCCAGTTGGAATATCAAACGTTGGAAGACTGCCCACTGTAGGGAAACCAGTTGGAATATTTCCTGTAGGAAGATCAACTGTTGGGAAACTTCCAATTGGGAATGTGAATGCACCAGTTCCTGGATTGAATGTGGGAAATCCAATGTATTCATAACCTGGTGGACAGGTGACTGGCTGAGTGACCGTTGGAGTGACTGATGGAGTGACTGGAGGAGGAGCAGGTGCTGCAGGGCAAACCGATTGAAGGCAAACACAAGAAAAAGGCCCATTAAAATGTGTGAGAGAAATGGTCATCTCTTTTTTTGTGGCCATAGTGAGATTTGAAACTGCTTGGTATAGGCTGCACATGAAAATGTAGCGGCAGTTAAAGGGTTAAGACCTAGTTCTCATTTGGTTGAATATGGATGCACTTGCTCGACCACTATAATAGTTGTGGCAACGGCCATTCTGACCATGTGAACTTTCCGACCTTGCATCAGCACACAGGGCAGTCAAGATCAATTACAGTCACGAAATATTTTTTTTTTAAAGCGAAGAGTGTCATGGTATAATATCCTCTTTCATGGACAAGATAAACACAAGAATGAATATTTTCCCAAGTGTTCCACAAAATTTCCACAACATGGTACACGGTATCGGAGCGATCAATTCACAACCATGATTGTAGTGCACGCAACCAACCTATCACTGAACCGGTCTGCGGGATGCTGTACAGTGTCAAGCAAGCAATGTGAACTGCCGTACGGTTTATTTTGCAGATAAGAGCTTGCAATGACCGGCACCCTCGCGTGAATTTGAGCTCACAATGTCGTGCCAACAGAAGACTGGATGCAAATGTTCTATTTCTTACATTAAAGCAGTCTAATTTCCCTATGAAGCAGAGACCATATGCAGGGCAAATGACTGTCTACCTCCCCAACACAAGCCCATACGAGACAAGGGGCAAACATCTAGTCTAGTCTGACAAAGGTACAGAATCAGTTAATACGTCTACTACAAGGAATCGTAATCAAAAGCACTGACGTTGTCACAACAATTTCATTCAAAAAACTTCACGGGTCTCGTGAGACTCGGCTGGAAGCCGAGGTTTCCGCATCCGTAGGACCGCCACCACCCTCTAGGATCAAGGCACAGATGCAGCCCCTATGTAGTGGGAGGTGAGTCACCACAAATTGGTCAAAGACTGAAATTCTATTCAGGGCATCCATGTGGTTGTCACAACCAAGTGTAATGCAAGAAATCACGGTGTGCTTCTCATTGTCTTACTTGTTGCCGGTGCAGTGGGTGGTGCAATTGAGAACAAACCAGAGCCAACACAGCTGTCGTTGCTGGGTATATACTGGCACACGGTGAAAGGGAGCGGGTTGCACAATGATGCATCACCACGGCAAGTTAAAGCGTAGTCCTGCAATGTCGTCAAGAACGTGGGTGATTGAGTATCATAGCATACTGGCGGGCCACAGCACTGAGTGGGATAGGAAATACACCCTGCAGGAAAAGTGCAAGCAATGCCAAACACATGGCAAATGCCAATGATTCTCTTCAGAAACACAGTAGTCCTGATGTCTACTTGAGTGTAAGCGTATAGCTACATTGCAGTGGCTGTGTGCTGCGAGCAGCCTTCAATCAAGAGGATTAATTTATAGAAAAGAAAAAAGGACCAAGGAACGTAGAACGTAGAACGTCAGTACTGTCAGTCAGTGGCGTGCAATGTTATCGTATGAGCTGATTGTTTAGTAACTGGTGGTGTTCGTGGACATTACAGCGTAACTTGTAGTTCCTAGGTCCTTTTCCATTTCTATATTATATTTGTTTATGGATTCGCAAACTCCATTGGAGCCAGATTCGCTTTTTCACCTTGATCAAGGGCAGTGGGCGAACATTTGATGAAACTAGAGTGCCATTCACAGCAAACAGACACGGGTCGAGTGTTTGAAGTAAAGTCATGTGATGCGTTTCTTTGTTCGATTTCGTCTGAAGTGAACTTACGTGGAGTAGGGTTAAGAGTTGGTTGACTTGATGCTGAAACACAAGTCACAAACACAAGTTATGCAAGTGAGATTGCAGTAAAACTCGCCTAATCTCCCCACATCCACGCACTCCCGTCTAACATGCAACTTCCAAGCTACAAAACATGACTATTCTACAATAATCACTGCAAAAATTATTTTTTATTGGTTATATAACGGGTTCTTTTTTGTATGCAATTAGTGGGTATGTTTGAAGTTGCAGGCAATTGCTAGTTTGGGGCAGTGGCCGTTCCAATTTTCCTGGATACGGGCAGTTCTACTGAATCTTCGGGGGAGATGTGCCCCTGCATGTAGCATCGAGAATCATCCAACCCGGAAGTGCACCTCTGTGCCATAACAAGTCTCACATATGTTAACGAGTCAATATAAAAATTAATGAAGAAAACCATAAGTATAGTGAATGAGCAGAAAAACAGAGTGCGAAAAAAAACAGGGCTTTCTGCTTCATGCTACTTTTTTTATATCTTCAATGGTACATTCCAAAGTTCTGTCGAGGTTCTAGGGCGCAAGATATTGGGAAACATGTCTACTGGCGCCCGATCATACTGCGTTTACGTTACATCGGTAATTTACCTTGCGTTGTAGCTCCCAGAGGCAGTGTAGTTGGAATCGGGAAGCATCCCGCTGGAACTCCAGTTGGCAGATTTGGAAAGCTCACGCTCGGGAAACCTGTGGGTATGCTGGGGAAACCAGTTGGCACACTGGGAAAGTTGGTGGGAACAGTTGGGACACTTCCAAGATCAACAGTTGGTATACTTGGAAAACCTGTTGGAATATCCACAGTGGGGAAACTACCTGTTGGAATGTCAAAAGTCGGGAAACCTGTTGGAATATCGACTGTAGGTATTGATGGAACAGAACCTGTAGGAATATTGAAAGTGGGAAAGTCTGTTGGGAAACTTGGTAGAGAACCTATTGTAGGAGGACTGCCAGTTGGAATATCAAACGTCGGAAGACTGCCCACTGTAGGGAAACCAGTTGGAATATTTCCTGTAGGAAGATCAACTGTTGGGAAACTTCCAATTGGGAATGTGAATGCACCAGTTCCTGGATTGAATGTGGGAATTCCGATATACTCGTATCCTGGTGGACAGGTGACTGGCTGAGTGGCCGGTGGAGTGACCGATGGATTGACTGATGGATTGACTGGAGGAGGCGACGGTGCTGTAAGACAAACCAATCAAAGACAAGCACCAAGGAAAGAAAGCAGCGCTTAAGAATCAGTGTACACGAAATTTGAGATCACAGTTCGAAGAAACAAAGCAGACTCTGCAGAGGACGTTCGGGTTTATTGTAACGCCTAGTTTGCTGCCAGGCGAAGATCATCAGACAGCCTTCTATGTTCTAGGCTCGATCAAGGACATTGGCCACTTTCTGCAGCTTAGGCAAAAATCAAATTTCTTAGTTTGGAGCATTATATGAATTGTACAATTGAAGATCTCCCTCCTTCTAGTGGAAGAAAGCAGAGCTTTGAAAAGTAAAGGTAATTACCATTTCCATTCTAAATGTTTGTTAGTGCACATGACAATCTTGCTTTTCTGCCGTGATTGGCTACCATCTAGTCTCCCCAATAGAGGTTTACATTGGGCATGGGGCCCTGCTTGCTGATGCCGTCTGCCTTACTGATATATTTGTTGTAGATGTGCATATAACATCCTTTCATCCTTTACCTCATTCAATTTTTCTCGAATGGATATCTTCATGCGCCCAACTCTGTATTATTGTTTTTTTCTTAGGTTTCATTGAAGTCGTTGAAATTCTCCTCTCCAACACAACGAGTATGTGTTGCTCCGCCAGTGTGGGGTTTTAAGGACGCAGTCGTCCCAGGGCGTACACTAAGTGCTCTTGGTTTGACTATGTATTCATGGATCGTTCAGCCTGGGTACGTTTCAGCACAGTTTTTCCGCCAATACGCTGCATAAATTGACGTCATTGCGCTTCGTCACATTGTCACCAGGTACTGATTTGAGAAGTAATGGTACCTCATCAGATTGACTACTGGCTTTGTCTCTTCGTGTGGTAATATGGAACAGGCAATGCGTTTATAACAGGGAATCGAAATCCTAAGCACTGACGTTGCCACACCCAAAGTGTAATGCAAGAAATCACAGTGTGCTTCCCATTGTCTTACTTGTTGCCGGTGCAGTGGGTGGTGCAGTCGGTGGTGCAATTGAGAACAAACCAGAGCCAACACAGCTGCCGTTGCTGGGTATATACTGGCACACGGTGAAAGGGAGCGGGTTGCACAATGATGCGTCACCGCTGCAAGCTATTGCGTAGTTCTGCAATGTCGTCAAGAACGTGGGCGATTGAGTATCGTAGCATACTGGCGGGCCACAGCACTGAGTTGGATAGGAAATACACCCTGCAGGAAAAGTGCAAGCAATGCCAACCACATGGCAATGATTTTCTTCAGAAACACAGTAAATGTAGCACTACACTTTTAAAAGAAACAATGTAGAATTACATTTTCTGAGAATGCATGAAAAGTGATTTTTGCAATTTTTTGAGTCCTTGAGTCCTAAACAGGGGGGGGGGGGGGGGGGGGAGCTGTCTCGAATGTTTTTTTACCCTTATCCCTTAACTCATACATATTCAAAAAATTCTCACAAATGGATCTTTTGGGGAATGAGAAAAGGAAGCACCAAATATCAACTTACTGTCTACTCCTGTGACTGGTGGTGCAGCTGATTACACAAAACACAACAAGAACACGTGAACATGGTCAATGTTGTGACAATGAGCATCAATAAAATTATTCCCGTAGCTATGCAGAAGACGTTACTTCAGTAACGTCTGGCGCTAGCCAGGGTCCACACAGCTTTAATTTGGTACTAGCCAGGGTCCACACAGCTTTAATTCCCGTAGCTATGCAGAAGACGTTACTTCAGTAACGTCTGGCGCTAGCCAGGGTCCACACAGCTTTAATTTGGTGTTTGTTTGTTTGTTTGTTTGTTTGTTTGTTTGTTTGTGTCACGCCTGGCTCTATCCCGTATCTGTCCCGTACCGTATCGCACAGCTGGCCATTTGCTGGCTCCCGTATCTGTCCCGTACCGTACCGTACCATCAAACACAGCTGGCTACAAACAGCTGGCCACAATATTCTGTACATGTATACGACTCCCTGTGTGTTGCAACTGTGCTTGAAGGGGACGGTCGCACTTTTTGTAGCTCCGTTTTATCTGAGTTTTCAGTCGTTTCTCTTACCAGTCTTGCCAAGGAGGTGGCTCTGAGTCCACCAGAGTTGCCCCTGGCGTATTTCTGAATTTGCTGGGGCGAGGGTTCCGCGACGCGGTCGCCAAGGCAGTGTCTTTTCAGTCACGACCGTTGTCGTCCTCGTCTCTCCATTCGCGGTGGTGTAGCTGACCCCCGAATGGTTTCAAACTGCGAAGCTTGGAGGAGTACAGTGGTGGCAGAGGCATGAGCTGTGAGTGGAGACGGTTGCTGGAGATGGATGGTGATGCAGGGAGAAGAGTTACGCTGCCTGACGCCGCGTGGGAAATTGTTTGAACCTGCAATTTCAGTTCGAGCGCGGTGGACTTCTAGACGATGTGTCCTCATGGCTGTTTTTCAACACTTGGCCTATCGCTGATATCCCTGGTGGGATGTTCTTCCAGTGGAGTCCAGGCGGGACTTCGGGTGCCCACACTCCATCACCTGGTTGATTGTTTCGGAACTGCAAAAATAATTATTGTTTCTTATTTTGTGCGCATCTCTTGTCATCTCTCTTTTCTATACGTCGCACACCAGATGTACTACTATCGCCGTCTTTCTCTTGCTTTCTCTCCCTGCTTGCTGTTTTTTGTTTCTGTTGCCACTGTCCCTCATCATACCCATGCTTGGGTGGTGGGCGGCGTGACCCGTTAGGGTAGCTGCCAATACAGTACGACTCCCTGATGTATAGAGAGACTTTCTGGAAAGAAATAGGGAGACGAGGAGGAAATGAAATTAGAATGGATGTTAGTTGCCGAATAGGTGATACGATGCGTCAGCAAAACATGCTTTGGAAGAGAGATCCCGTCGTCTCCAAAATAGGCGTGAACGGGCGAGTCAGCGCCGGTCACAGGAAACGTCGGCAGAGAGATCCCGTCGACTCCAGAACGCGCGTGCTCGGCAGAGTCAGCGCCGTCCCAGGAAACATTTCCATCAGTTCCCACAACATGCACGATGAGCTAAGTAACAAAGCATAGCGTAGGGCCCTGAGCTTCCAAGCTCTCTCGTTTGGTATTTGTTTGTGTGTTTGTTTGTTTGTTTGTGTCACGCCTGGCGCTATCCGTATCTGACGGCAAAAAAGCATAGGATAATTATAAATTTTTCAATTCTCCTATTTTTTTTCAGGCATATCCTGGGATTCGAACCCGCACTATCGCCCTACATGCATTCCCCCTTACACTTCGCATTCATACCCATTCTTCCAAGTTGCTTCACGTTAGTATCTTGCGTTTGAAAGCCCTATTTGAATATTGCGGGCAGCTGTATGTGGCCAGCTGTGTTTGATGGTACGGTACGGTACGGGAGACGGTGTTGTATTACCCTAGATCGTACCTGTCCCGTACCTATCCCCTACCGTACCGTGCCATCAAAGACGGCTGGCCACAATGCATATTCAAATAGGGCTTTCAAATGCAAGATCACAATGTGAAACAACTTGGAAGAATTAGTATGTATGCGAAGTGTATCGGGGGATGCATGCAGGGCGCGCGATAGTGCGGGTTCGAATCCCAGGTTATGTCTTAAAAAAAAAGGATTTTTTTAAAGAATTTATAACATCCCTATGCTTTTTTTTTTCTAGGTCATCAAGGCAAAAAAGCATAGCGTAGGGCCCTGAGCTTCCAAGCTCTCTCGTTTCTCGGTAATCAGCGGCACTGACAACTCCTCAAAGAGCGAAGAGATCCCCCAGATTCTATGAAATATACCAAGAAGGTAATGCACCATACATAGGAAGAAATTGACCATTCTAGAGGCTGCTAGTATTTCAAAAGAACGGTATGTTTCTTCTCTAAATTGTTTTGTCCTAAATTGTCTTATGCTTGATATAAGTGAAGATGTACCTCTCTCTCTTTCTCTCTCTCTCTTTCTCCCTGTCTCTCTCTCTCTCTCTCTCTCTCTCTCTCTCTCTCTCTCTCTCTCTCTCTCTTTCTCTCTCTCTCTCTCTCTCTCTCTCTCTCTCTCTCTCTCTCTCTCTCTCCCTCTCTCTCTCTCTCTCTCTCTCTCTCTCTCTCTCTCTCTCTCTCTCTCTCTCTCTCTCTCTCTCTCTCTCTCTCTCTCATACACCGCCGGGGAATGGAGGCCGATGTTTAGGAAGGGGACAATATGGTTACCAGCCATCGATGGCAGTATGAAAGTGAAAAAAGTACGAATACACCAGGCACGGACAACATGCACTGCGCGAGTCACGGAGAACGAAATGTAAATGCATGCATAGCATACGCTGCAAGAAGACTCTTACTGCAAAACCTGAATCTGTTACGGGGCACAATGCTCAGCGTTTAAAAAGACAGTTCTGTGATGGCGGGATCGTTTATTTAGACTCGTCGCACTTTCAGCTCATGCAGTATATGACGATGGTCGGTTACCATGGTTACCCCCTTCACAGGTCAGTCCAGAAATCACAGGAATCCTGCTCCAGGAGAACTTACTAGCAACGGTCGGTGCAGTACCAGTGCTTTGTGGCACACTGAAAGATCCTAGCTGCTCGCAGAAGCCAGTAACAGGGCTGACACTGCACTGTGCAAACCGTGCTGGGTTGCAGGACGTCGGATCGCCACACCTGATCGCATAATTCACAACGATGGAGGAGTAGTTGGCGAAGGTTGAGTCGATGCAACGAGGTGCCCCACAGCACTCCTCTGGAAAAGAGACACATCCTGGAATTCACACCACGCCAAATAAAAGGGCAACATGAAGAAAATGACACTTGGCAAATGTTCACACCATACAACATTAATTGATGCACGGTGCTACTTCAAACCAAAGCGGTCGAAGTGAGAAACACTGATGCTCACACTGCAGCATTGTACAGGGGAGGCTCCTTATCCGTTTTTGCCCAGTGGTCCCACTTACTTCGAAGCACTGGCTATTCATTATTATTTTTGTTCAATTGTTGGATTGTCAGCACTCATAACTCGCACACGATTGTGTTTTCTCTACCCTACAATTCAACCCTACTCGAATTTGGCAAAAATAGTGTGATCACATTCACTTACTGGGAGTGAGGTCAATAGTCGGTTGAGGTGAAGCTGAAACAAAAGTCACAAACAGATATGATTCAGGACATCGTAGAACTTTGATAGTACATACCCTGGTGAGCTGGAAAGTGTACTTAGCATCCAAAGTACCTCTTATCCCAACATACATGTACTTCAGTACGGATGAATGCACCCGCGCTGCAGACAATGTCCGTACAAAGCAAGAGTGTGTCTTGTCAGACCTCGCATACCGTATTTCCGCAAATAAAAGGCCGTCCTCGTATACAACGCCTTCCTCGTATACAAGGCCGGGGCGGGGGGCGATTGAAAAAATAAAAGACCGTCTCCGATTAGAAGACCGGGCCTACTAAATGAGTCTTTGCTCTTGTGTTAAAAATAGAAGACCGTGCTCAAACTGTGGAAAAAATAGAAGACCGTGCTCAAACTGTGTAGAAGAAAATGGAAGAACGGGGGTAAAACTGTGTGGCGAGAAATAGAAGACCGGGGTCAAACTGGGTTGAAAGAATAAAAGACCGTCCTCGAATACAAGACCGTCCTCGATTATAAGGCCGGGTTAGGACGAGGTTGAAAAAATAGTAGACCGGCCTACTATTTGTGGAAATACGGTAACCGCACGCATCCGTTTTCCACAAAATATCTGGACAGGCGAGGGAACCGGACAATCGAACACGCACACACTGTATGTATGCATGGCGTATGCTGAAAATCGGTAACCAACGATTTTCTTCCGGATGGCGAGGGATCCAGATAAAAGAGGACCGGATAAGTGAGGTCTAACTGTACATACTAAGCGAGTTCCACTGTACAATCAAATACCATTGATGCTGCATTAGGGCTGATCCGACTAAGGCTACTTCTCACCTGACAGCCATCAGTATAAGTGAAGTCAACACCATTCAGCATGGAGTCACAAGGGCGTACACGTGCACGTACTTTAAGTCGACAAATTTTCGGCCCATTCAAATTCCGGCCTCCCAGGGCTAAAACCCATTTCGGCCGCATCACGTTTTCGGCCTGTACTGCTGCTGCCTGTATACACTGTCACACTGAACCTTGCAAAACAAAATTTCGGCCGCAACGAATTTTTGGCCAAACATGATCAAGCCGAAAATAGCGGAGAATAACTATGCGCCGAATATTTGTTGACCTACAGTAGTCATAACTCATAAGGCACGAATTTCATTCCTGCCGATTTCTTCCATAAGAGCGAATGCAAAAGGGTACGACTACGACAAACTTCCGTGAAAGGTACTTTGTGCATGGGACATACTGTTTAGGTGCTACCATGAAGGGGTAGTAGCCTCCTGCAACACCTACTGTCGCTTGTTTCCGGAACACCACTGTATGCCAAGTGGCTGTCAAGAAGTCAGCTTTCTGGCTGCTTGGCTGATATGCAGCATAAAACTGAGATTTGAATTGAGCCGTGACCAACCCCACTTCCACCTTGCGGAAATCTCAGTCATGTCACCGCCATGTTCACCCTTATTTTGCAGCAATAATTGATATGAGAGAATCGCGGCAAGGGTTCTTTGGCCTCATACAATGCCTCTTATGTTGAACGGTCTGGACAGTCAGTGGAAAGAAATTCCTCTGTCCGCAAAGCTTTCCATACCGCAGTGGGTGCAGCTTTGTGACAATGAAGGCAGATCGGGGATTTGCTCGCAGGCCTATAGGCAGTCATGAGGAAAGTTAGTGCGCAGGCTTTATGTTTGCATGCTGAAACTCTGTGCATGGAAACAGATCCACTATGGAGACTGGTCTCCTTCACGGCGGTCAACCATGTGTTGGGTTCTTCCACCAAAACTGTTTATGCACGCCATCACTTTCATTCGGGTGTGAATAACCCAATGCTCCGTGCACAGCACATACTCTGGTCACTCTGCTATGTATGTGCGTCAGCCAAGGACATGCCGGTGCTATCCACAGCTTCCCTACATTCACACTGTACCTTGTGTTGTCGCTCCCAGTGGCAGTGTAGTTGGAATCGGGAAACATCCCGCTGGAACGCCTGTTGGCAGATTCGGAAAGCTCACGCTGGGGAAGCCCGTTGGGAAATCGGTTGGAATGGTTGGCACGCTTCCGATATCGACTGTCGGTACACTCGGAAAGCCCGTTGGTACATCGACAGTGGGAAAACTGCCTGTTGGAATATCAGGGGTCGGGAAGCTTGGAAAACCCGTTGGGATATCAACCGTGGGGAAACCCGTTGGGATATCAACCGTGGGGAAACCCGTTGGGATATCAACAGTCGGAAAATCTGTCGGAAAACTTGGCAGAGAACCTATTGTAGGTGGACTCCCGGTCGGAATATCAAACGTTGGAAAGCTGGCCGCCGTGGGGAAGCCAGTTGGAATAGTTACGGTCGGAAAGTCCGTTGGGAATGTTCCAATTGGGAATGTAAATGCACCCGTTCCTGGATTGAACGTGGGAAATCCAATGTATTCATATCCTGGTGGACAGGTGACCAACGGAGCAGTAGCTGGAACTGCAGCTGAGGCAATAAAAGAGATCAAGCAAATAGAAGGCACCGTCAATGTGGATTACCACCCAAGCAAACCCCGTAGCAGATCACGGTGATGATCAAAAAGAGGGCACTGTGAAGGCTCTCGCAGCTTCATCGTAAAATCACAGCCCAATGATAATCAAGGTCGTGATACTGTGATACTGTGAGCGTGAGTGCTACATCTGTACAGTGATACCTTTCCAGACCAACCACACGCACAGCTTACAAGAGACTAGCTACCTAAAGTCCGACACGCCAGTGCTTTACCGCACATTCTAATTCAACTGCAACCACCTTGGAGACATGACTGCACAGATAATATGCCAAGTGAGATGTGTAAACACTGGGTCCTCTTGCATGACATTCATAGCCTATTCTGTACACCAGCGCATGCATGAATTCAGTCCTCCATTTGGCCATACAGTAAAACCTGATAAGGCGACCACCTGCCCCAGAGGACCACTGCTAACAGGAACAAGGGATGCTATGGTCAGTCAAACGACCCTGGATAAGGAGACCACCTGGTAACAGAGACCAAATTTCGAAGGTCCCCTGAGCGGTCGTCTTAGACTAGTTTCACTGTATTTATGTACAGAGGTGCCGTCGGAGGAACGGTATTCCGAAGATAGTTTCACATGCTATAGAGGTTATGCAACTACATCATTAGTTGAGACGCTTTGGCAAAGAAACGGCACAGCAATGCACTTTCTAGCACTGGCAACTCGCGAGCAGCTCGCTACTAATACTACACTGGCGCGACTCATTCTGTATACATAGCGCTCATAAGCGGTTTCGTTGTATGCTTAGCGCCCATAAGCGGTTCCGGAATTCCGCCGACTCATTTTTATTACTTCTTTCGCATAACCTCTATAAAAAAAACAGCTAGTGTTAGTGCCATGAAATGAAGTGGTACTTACTAGCTGCTGCGTGTGGATCGAGATGTTTCCAGGAACAGTGAAGCATAGTCGAAATTATTCGTGCAGCAGAAACACACACGCAAACGCACGCACGCACGCACACAAACATACACATACATCAGTCCGTTAGCACCAACAACACATTAGCGGCGGGTATCGATCGACACCGACGCAAACACACACAGTCAATGTATTACGTACCTATACGGACAACACAAAAGAGCAAAGGGTAGGTCTACGTGTGGTGACTACAATTGTAGTCAGTAGATCCACAACAGAACTTTAGTACACGATCCGGCAAGTTTGCTTGCTATGTTGCCGCCGAACCAGCTCCAGACCAGGGTGCATGATTCAAAATGCAAAATATCAGGCCAAATACCCGGCAACAAAGGAACAGTTATACAGAACCTACTACTCCCTGCATGCCAGAAGACGGACGAGCTACGAGCAGTGGCATTTACTGTCCCCAAGATGTCACGAAACAATACAATGCTGGCCCACGACTTTACTTTTGTTTTCGAGTCTTCATAATTATGTAACAAACTATTCACTTCTTCGGCCCGCGGGAAGAAAGAAGGTTAGAGGACCCAGTTCGCGGTCAGGTGGTAACGGAGGCTGATGACACCTGAACCATGACTTCTGCAAAGTGCAATCAACCGATGCTGAGTAGGTGCTCAAAATAAAATTAATTTTTAGATACTGTGAAGTAGTTGATAAAATAATTATGGTGGTAAAGACACACCTGCCCAGTGCCCACACGTGTATTTACCGCCGGCCATATTGCCAGGTGCGTCTTTACCACCATAATAATGTATCAACCATAAGTACAGCTGCAGTGGTGTCTTCATGCTGTGAGGTGTGACTCTGTCACAAGTGTGAGGGAAAAATGCCAGATGAGTGCCAGTCACACTCCTGATCCCAGCGCTAGCATGCAGCGCTAAGTATGCGAACGCAGGGACTCACTCAATCGCGCGCTGACTTCAAGTGGTTGACACCACCACTCATCAAGCACAAGGGATAGGAGTTCAGAAATCTTTCATGACTCCTTGCCCTTGGTTGCCATTGCATTGGCATTGGAGAAGATCATTTTTATGGCAGCTAGCATGACAAGTGCCAGTTTATCTTTATGCACCCAACGTGCATGGCCGGCCCTGCATGCCTGACAGATAAAGCGTCACCTCTCTAGCTCTGTATTACTACTGTACTACTGTAGTCGGTAGTAGACCAGGTAGCTCTACGTACAACCTATCTCTTCACGCGCAAGGAAAAAAAGATCTACAATGTAGCACTCCTAGTCCTAGTCCTAGGCCAGGGCCGCGCGCCATGATCGTGTCACAAAATGACCGTAGATCTACGTACAGTAGTCAAAGAGCGCGAGCCGAGTCCGCCTTTTTGGCTGTGGGGCTGCGGCCGCGCGGCTCTCGCCACGCGCGCGTCGGTGCATGCAGTGCTGGGATGAGTTTTGTGCATTATTTTATTTTTTGTTGTTGTTCATGCAAACTCAAAAGAATAGTGATTGCGCAGTGTAATCTGCTGGAGGAAGCTTGCTTTGTGGTAGGACAGGCTCACGTTTGGCAAGCATAGGAAAGCGAGAGCTCGGGGAGAAATCTGATTCAGGTGTGAGGAAGAGAACCTGGTCATTCCGCTCAAGTCATTGGTGCCGTTTTTAGACGTAGAAAAACTGAAGAAAAAAACTGAGCAACAGAGAAAGTAAACTATTATTTTGGTCCGGGCAGCATGGAGCGATGGAGAGGTAAAATAGCACTAGTGACTGGTGCCTCGGCTGGTATTGGAGCTGACGTTGCTGCTCGCCTGGTCGGCCATGGCATGGTGGTGTACGGCTGTGCGCGAGGTGTGGATCGCATCGAGCAGGCCGCCCTGAAGCTGAAGGATGCTCCTGGGCGGCTGATCGCCGTGCAGTGCGACTTGCTCAAAGATGACGAGGTGCTCCGGATGTTTGAACGGATTCAGGCCGAGCAGGGTACGCTCCACCTGTGTGTGAACAATGCCGGCATGGCGCGCAAGTCGACGATCCTGGACGGATCGCGCGACCAATGGCGGGAGGTGTTTGAAGTGAACGTCCTAGCCGTACGCCAGTGCACGCAGGAAGCTGTCAAGCTCATGAAGCAGGGCAAGGTCGAAAACGGGCAAATTGTCACCCTCAACAGCATGAGCGGCCACAGGTCGACCAGCAACCGAGAGCTGGCATCGTATCAGATGGCCAAACACGCCGTGACGCTCATGACTGAACTGACCAGGCGTGAACTGCGCGATCTGGGCGGCTTCATTCGCATTGGCCAAATCTCGCCCGGCATGGTTGAAACTGAGTTTGAGGCGCGATGCAGTGGTGACCCGCAGGCAGCCAAAGAGAAATATGCCTCGCTCGAGACTATTCTACATGCTGAGGATATCACTGATGCACTGATTCACATGATTGGCGCTCCGGAACACGTGGAAATTCACGACGTCCTCATGCGCCCAACTACTCAGAAGTTCTGAGGTGTTCGTGTGGAGATCTCTGACGGATGTACTTGGACCGGAACGTGTCAATTTCACTTGCCGCCTGCCGTATCGAATACGCGAGGCGATATTTTTTTCTTATCAGGACCAATTACTATAATGTGTCAACGCTGACATGGCATTGTGTGTTTAGAAAATTATAATGATAGCACATTGAATTTTCTTTCGTGAAGTTATCTGGAGTTCTCCGCGATGAATTTCCACCTGGAAAGTTTTGCCAGCAGAGGCACTGGCTATATTTAATCCATTCTTCTTCACGTTGTTTGTGTGGCAAAGCAAGCATTCTCTGGGGAGGCGGCGCACAGACCAATCCCTGTGGCGGTCTTCATAAATTTGGCGGATATGAACTTTGGAGGTTGTGTGTGGCCTATAGCTTGCGGCAGAGCAATCTCCTGGGTCCGATCCCCAGTAGGTGTCGTCAGCCTAAGTATTTGCGGCTCGAGTCAGTGTACTTCTTTAAATGTCTTACTGTGCATCTTCTACTGATCGTTCTGGCAAATGCTTTGTTGTTCATTGAACTGCATTGCGATCAGTTCAGCTAGTGACTCTGAGACCCGAAGACAAGACCTATTAAAGAAGGTCGAAACAGTTAGCTATCGGGAGATTGATTCTTGTGTTGCTGCGCCTCGCCTTGGTCGAGCACACGGTTACCTTGCCTTGTACAAAGCTCGCTGTGTTTCTTGAGTGAGAGCACTGTGACGTTGCTGCTTTAGAAGCCTGTGTCAATAAATCATAGAAAGGAACCCTCGGTTGCTCACTGTACATGTTTGCCATCGGTCAGCCGGTCACTCTGAGCTTCGCAAAGCATTTGTGATGAGGATTACTATTCTAGGCGGAGACAAAATAGCAATTACATGTACTGAAGTATTGATAGAAACACACAGCCAATCTACAACCAGCAGACAGACAGCGATTCAAAACTGCTTCAACACATAGCAGGAGCACATAATTCAGGCTCTTCAAAGACATGCAGAAATTTGTCACAACTGCACTTTCGCGCCTTCTCTTCAGGTGATATACATGTACAGGCTGGAGCAAAGGTCGAAGACTGAGAACAATGAATTATGTACAGCAGTGACAGAGAGGTAATACATGTAGAACAGCGCAAAGAAGAATAGCAAAACAAAAACACTGAAACACAATTATAATAATTTTTTACTGAATACCACAGTACCATCAGATGCTGCACAGCGGGGGCGGTGGCATATTGGATGGAAGTGGGGGCGGGGCAAAAGTAACTCCTCCGACCAAAGGTCTCGGAATCATCGTTACTCCTGTGCGCCGATACACGCCGATACACAGGAGAAAAGAAACATGTGCATCCAAGAGGGAAGCACCGGCTTTGCAAACGATAATGGGGAAATTTGAGATTGAGATAGAACAAAACAATAGTAAAAGCAGTGCACCGTAGGAAGATGGAGAGAACTGATAATCGGATTTTAAGGCTGAGCGAAGGGGATCAAAGAGGGGTAGAAGGGAGCTGGAGTGCGGTCAGTATAATTAGGCTGGTGGTGTGTTGGCTGCGATGGAGAGATCATAGCCTGTCTGTGGCCCACTCCCACTTGCTGCGCCGCAAGTGGTCGTTGACGTTTTTCTTGAACGTGTACATACCTCTGCGAGAAGGGGGAGACTGCAGAAGGGTAGGTGGGAGCTGATTCCCGAATGTGTGACCCATGCATGCACGTCATACTCTAATGGAAAGAATGACAAAAAGGTGCAATTGAACCTTCAGTATCGAGGTCTTTGATAAGCTGGCACTCTTACTTTATTTCAGTGCCTCCCATAGGACATTGCCATCGTACACCTTTCAGGACTCGCGGCCCGAAGGGAGGTCCGCAGAGTGTTGTTTTCCTTTACAAAGATACATGTAGTTGAGCTTCTCGTAGTTCCATTGGAATTATTTGATAAGAACCGTTTCGAAGGTCAATCACGGGTCCGCGCATGCTCGGAAGGTTCACGCGTTCAGGATACCCTTTGTTTCTCAATCATGGTCTTAGCTGCAGTATTTTAACATCGACCAGAATCCTGATGTTCTGTTACTCATCAGACAGATATTTTTGCCTGTGTGCTATGCTATCTCCTGGGTATACCTGTACATGTATAGTGCTTAAAGCGAGATGCACAGACGTTTCGTGAACATAATTATAAAATTAATACCTCTATACCGTGACAAGGCGTCTTGCTCACATGCTAATTCCATGTACCAGTGGCAGTGGTGTAGTCCGCCTCACTATGCTACTAGTACCGGCCAATGCCTTTCATATCCTGACCTTGGAAAACGACTCATACACTTCACGAAGCGGTGCCTATCTCCGGCACTGTGAATAATGTAGTCTGAATACTGTGAATAATGTAGTCTGAATACTCTGCAATAGGTACACTTGTGCCTATGCCATGCACATTAGAATTTGTCGCAGGGGCGGCATTTGGCTGGCGTACTAGTTTATGTCGTCAATGCGTTGCTGAGTTGGCCCATAGTCTTACACCTGGCCACCGGGACCAATGTAGACTTGTGCCCGTGCATTCCACCGAGTCCGGACCTTTCCTTCCATTGCAATTACACATCGCCCCTACTTCCCTTCGTTTTGCTTGTATTGTAGGCCTTGGCGGATAATGCTCGAAAAGGTGGCAGATTCTGCTCGAAAAGCAGTGATATTGGCAGAACCATACAAACCTTACGGCGGGCAATTCCGCGAATTCTGCTCCATTTCTTTATCCACATACCAAACATGCATGAAACTTACCCGAAAAAGTACCGAATTCTGCCAATTCTTCTGCCGACATTATCCGCCAAGGCCTATTGTATTGCCACTTCTACTGTTCGCTCTCCTTCATACATTATTATACAATGTACATGTATATTAGTAGAGCTGTCTAAAAATCCCACTTGTGCTCAAACCCTCACCAGCTGTACTTCCATGTACCTATCCAGCTGTCAATGGCTGCCTCCGGGAAACCTTGGTAGGGACCGGAACGCTCAAGGCATTAATGATGCAGTTTATAAACATCGACCGTGATCAGCCAGTTGCGCATTAAATGATGCAGTGTGTAAACATCGACAGTGATCAGCTGGTTGCGAGACAAATGAATGGGACAAGGGTTCCTCGTACATGTACATGGGCCACATGACCTCTAGCCTGTGCACAGGGCACCGGATGTCAGTAGCAAACAATGTTTTGTTTACATCCACAACACAGCTTTTAATAGCTAGGGACGTGTGCGCCTGGTGGTACCAGTAGTGTCCTTGTTCCATTGCAATGATACAAGTAGTAATATTAGTAATTGAACTTTTTTATTGGAGCAAGAGCACGACCATAAGGTGTGAAACCTGTCAGCATTAAATGTGAAAACACAGTAACAATTCTCACGAGATGATGTGAAATCCCGACACTTTCTAAAGCAGAATTCGCCATATCTCACGCAGTCATTCATCGTGAGTTTGGTACGATTATCTAAGAGAGATCACGATAATCTGTGGGCAGCATTGCTCCTTTCGTTCATGCAAACTAGACAGGACTCACAGGAGTCTGGAACAAGGTCTTGTTTTCCAATCTGACAGGAAAACATGGGTGTCCTCTGGCAGAATCGCATTCGAATCTTCCGGCTGCCATTACATGTATTTTCGTGCATATTCTCTACTGTAAGCTAGCGGTATATCCGCACAATGTCACTAATCTACCAGCCTGGTCGCAATCACGCTGGTTTACCCTATGGCTCAATTGTACATGTACGTATCGATCATAGTACATGATAGTTTGCGGAATGCACATAAGTTTAGCTGTTATACAAAGTAGGCGTTTTACATTGTAGATGTTCTGTACACGAGCGCAACGTCACAATCATGACCGAAGCGCTGGTACATTTTGCATTTTTTCGGATTCCGTCATTCATCTGGTCAGTGAGAATGCCGCACCTGAAGCCCTCCTCCAAGCAGAACTTTCTCTGTGTTATGTGTCTAAGACGAAGAATAGACGTATTTTTCCTGAACCCAACGCCGCTACATGCGTATCTATTCGTACAGTCTATGCACCATCTGTAGCTTCATAGCATGCTTTTCGTGTGCATTGTTGATTCCTATGAACGAACCCCCATCAAATTGAAATCTCGTAAATGGGGTCAAATTCACTATTTCAGAGTCATAGCCTGGCCACGACTGTCGCCAGTGGCAAGTAAGCACTATACATGATATCAAGGTCGACCATGCGTGGTTCAGCAGCAATGACACCTACATGTATTAGGCTAACGTCCATTGGTGGCGATCAACAGCGAGGATAATCTCCACAATGGGCAGCAGTTTGTCGAGGACAACAGCAAACTCACACAATCCCAGTGCACAGAGAACCAGTCTACCAGTCAGTACTTACGTTGAGATTGTGCGTCCGCCGTCCAACACCACGTGAGAGCTAGAATCGCTAACGCCCATCTCAGTCGCGTTCTCCCACTCCGCCGCCTGCAGCCACAGCCTATCGCCGAGGGCTCCATTTCACCGTCTCCTTACAGCTAGTGCACTGAAGAAGATTGCTCGTCCACAGCAAGAGGACGTATTCGCACAACGTCGGCTTCTTCTCCTTCGCACGGAGTTCGCCTGGCAAAAGAGGACGATGCGCTCGCTCGCGGTGTGGAAGAGCAGCGGCTCTGAGTTTCGGCGCCGAGCATTCAAACCTACACAACATGCATTGGGGTGCAAGAGCAGAGCCACCCGTGCAGGCTACCAACTCTGTGGTCTGAGATGACTGTCTGGTGTGGATATCGTGGAGTAAAGGTGCTTCACGTGACCAGCCGCAGATTGCCAAATGACGCGCGTGGATTTCGGACTGAATGCACACCGCGCGCTCGAGTATGAAGAAGGAATACAGAAAAGGTCACACCTGCATACGCTGTCGACCTATTTGTCACTACAACATGTAGTACTGTGAGCTGGATGGAGTGTTTGAATGAGGCGGGCGGGTACGCTGCTACTGGCTCTGCGAAGTGCATGATGAACAACTCCCACCACTCTACGCCAATCCTGTATTGTTTGGATGTCCCAAATCCTGATGACATATGCAGTCGAGGTGCCCGACATACGGGCAGATGGGACGGGGCGGAGCAGAAGTGACAAGCAAAGGGAGTCCAAGCACGTGAACGCTGGCATGGCAGGGGTTGTGGCACGACGCGTTGCTGGTACCGAATCAGCGGCTGAAGGGTTCAGCTAGCGACGAACAATGATCTCATTCCTGCCCTAGACCTCGTGCATTGAAATA